CATGGGAGGAGGGGGGGGATGGCCACACCAAGACACCCCTGGGAGCACACCAGCATGGTCCCACTGCCGGGGGGCTGTGAAACAACCCCCGTGTAACCAAGACACTGCAGGGGAACCACAGGGATGAAGCAGGATTTTGTGATGCTGCATCCATTTTGCCTTTGGAGTCAGCTCTGGCTCAAAGTCACTTCCAGATTTGCCCTAAAACTAAACACAGCAACTCACACAAGCAAAGGGTAACACCTTTTTGGTGCAGGCTGCCAGCCGAGGCGGGTGGGCAGGGAAAGCAGCGGGCAGGGAAGCCCCCGCGTCGTGAGACTGAGTCCTGGAGGAAACCTCACCACCAGCTATGAATCCAAAATACTACCAAAGCCCAGTGGAACCTCTCGTTGCAATGCATCCCCCACCTCCATGTTTCTTCCAACATTTAGGGGATGATGAAGCCCGTGCGCTCTGTGCCATGCTCAGGTCGGAGTCCTGACCCCCTTCCGCCCTGGGAACAGGATGGATTCTAGGTCTGAATAAGCAGAAAGGGACGTTTTGGCCATTCCAGGGCTTTGTCGCCCCAAGACGTGTCTCTAGTGGGAAGCCCGTGGAAGGGGCTCCTTGGCCCAGGGCAGGGGGCCTGATGGGTCATGGACCCACCACTGGGCAGTTTTCGGGGGGCTGCTGTGCTGGGGAGGATCTCATGGGTCACAGTGGTGTGCGTCTGACTGCAGGGCCTTGAGCTGGTTTTCAGCTCGCAGGAGCAGCCGCCCGTCCTCTGTCTTTGCCAAGTCCTCGCCATGGTCGGGTTCTCTTTCACAGGCGTTAATTAGCGGTGCCATTGCTCGACAGGCAAACTGGGCATCGTGACCCGCTTCACACTTCGGCATTTCCAATTAATATGCAAGATGTCGCAATCTCGAGGCAGACCTGCCTGCTTTCACCCTCGCCTGCCGCTTCCTGTGAAGCCTCTTCATCGGGGCTGGGGTGAGCCGAGCCGCTGGCTGCAGCCGGGTTCCACCACCTCCAGTTACTGCCCCGGGGCACGGGGCAGAACCCTTACAGCGCTCGACAGTGATCCAGGGAGGAGACATTTTGGAGGTGGGAGCAGTTTTGGGCTACAAGACCTAAAGGAGGATCCCTGGCAGGTGGTAATGGTGCCACATCCGCTCAGATCCAGCCCTATCCCAGCAGCAGGTCGTGTCTCACCAGCAGTGCAAGGAGAGAGGAGGGTTTGGAGGTGGCTACTGGCCAAGGGCTCTCTTGGTCTGGCGTGAAGCAGGAATTATCTACAGAAACCGGAGGGAATGGGGTGTTTGACGCAAGGATTAATTCCCTGCCCTTAGGAATCGCTGGGGATCTGCACCATGTTATACAGGTCAGGTAAACAACCTATATTGTGGAGAGGCCAGATGGCAGCAGTGCTGCTGTACAGGGGCAGAGGGGAAGAAATGAAGCCAGGGAAAGAAAATCACGCTGTGAGCCTCCGAGACGCTTGCATGGAGTATTATCCTTGTGTTTCCAGGTTCGTTACTCGCCCGCTCCCACGCAGGAGCTGGCGGCAGCAGCCTCCTGTGCCCATGGGCTTTGCAAGGGGGGAACTGCTGAGAAGGGTCTCCCCAGGCAGGAGCAGAGCCTCTCACAGCCCCAGTGGTGAACCTTGGGGTTTGGAGGGCAGCGGGCTCTGCCCTGGCACTGCCAGGAGAGCTGGCATACATGGCCGCAGCTCCTGGGCACGAGGATGCCTGGCAGCCAGCTCCTCACAGCCCAGCGCTGTAATCTCCCTGCTTTTAGGGAATTTTAAGTGACCTACTTGCAGCAGGAGTTGCATAATAGACTGGTGAATATATATAAAATAGGCTGAAGGTTTCACCAATGCTCAGGTCAGTTTGTGTAGAAGTCGTCCTTGTCCAGAACCCCGACCTTCACCAGCGTTTTCTTTTCCTTCCAGAATCGCCTCCCCGGCATCAAGGTGAAGTACCTGCTGGTGGTGTGGCTGGGCATCTTCGTGGGCAGCTGGGTGGCATACATGCATTACTCGTCCTACTCCGAGCTCTGCCGTGGCCACGTCTGCCGGATGATAATTGTGAGTGGCGGCCAGCAGCCCCCGTGGCTGTGCTGGTCCCAGTTCGGGGCGCCGGGGTGAACGAGGCTGTGGGACCCCCATTTCCAGCCCCCCCAGCCCTGTGCAGTGCTTTGCAGCCAGGCAGGCAGCGCTGGGGCAGCATCCTGCACAAGAGCTGGGCCGAGGAGCCCTCCTGGCAGCTGCTTCCCTGGCACCATCCCCAGCATCACACGGCGCTCGGAGCGGGAGAGGTGACCTTATCCTGCCAGGGCGACGGCGGAACAATTTAATGAGAAGTCGGAGGGAATCAGGCCAGGGCAGACGTGGACAGGTTAATGTCTGCGGAGATGAAGTTGCAACGTCAGGGCAGTGAGCAAGGTCTGCGGGCAGGGAGAGCATCACGCCAGCCCTGCAGAGCTCCACAGAGGCAGAGGAAAAAGGGGAACAGCCAGTCCGTGGGGAGCTCTCTGTAACTGCTGGCATGCCCTAAAGAAAGCACCAGCCTGCACGAAAAGCAGACCCCTCACAGGAGCTCGGCTCAGTGTGTTTTACCCCTGCCTGGGGTTTGCAGTGGGGCTCAGCCTGGTCCCCACAGCATCCCCGGCACCAGCGGCCAAGTGGGGCCCCCCCGGGATGCTGTGTGTGCCCCATGGCAGGGGAGCAGGTTGCCCACCCAGCCTGGGTGAGGAGTGGGACACCAGGCTCTGTCTGAGAACGCCTCGTTCATCAGTCCTTCAGCAGAGAAGGGAGGCAGGAATTGCCATAACAACAGCAACAATCGTTTAATTTGATTTTCTGCATGAGTCTGACCATGGGGTCTCGGGCACTAATTCCTGCTCTGAGCTCGGGGTTTAGGATGATGTGTCTGGCCGTGTCCCCTGTCAGCAGGTCCAAGGGTTAATTCCCATCCACATCAAGGAAAAAAAACGAGGGAAAAGATGCAGTGAATTTCTGCAGCTCTCTTTTCCAGCCCTGAGGCTGTTGTGTCCTCACTGTGAAGCTGCAGAGCTGCAGCCTCTCCTGCCCAGGAGATGCCTCCAGCTCCTGACCCAGCCGCCTTGCTTGCGGATCAGAGCCACCGTCTGTCCCTGTCCCTGCCACCACCTGGACTGTAGCCAGTCCATTTCACAGCAGGGGCTGCTGCTCTGCGGAGCAGCCTGAGCCCATGCAGCCTCATCCTCACCATCCCCACACGGCCTCCTCCTCCAGCCTTGGAAGCTCGCCTAACCCCCTGGGATTGCAGCAGGAGCACCCAGGAGCAAATCACCTGCAGTGCCTCCAGCGGCACGGGGGTCCCTCCAGCGGTACGGGGGTCCCTGCTAGCCCAGCCCCACCTTGCCCAAGGCACTGAGCCATCCAAAGGGCCCAGCCTGCAGCTGGGAGCTCTGCTCACAGCTGCTGCCTGTTCGGCCAGGGCTCAGCCCCAGCTGTGCCTACGCCCCCCTCTCCCCATGTCTGCCCTGTTAAAGTCCTTGCTGTGGGGCCAGTTGAAATCTTTGAGTCTTAGAGCAGGCAAGATTTTGGGCTGAGATTTCTTTGGAAGGCAGAGAGGGGGGAGTTTTGGGGGTGCTGGAAGGGGCTAGGCTCTGAGCAACCAGCACAACATCTCCCTGACGAAAGTCTGAGCAGAAGGTGCTCCCCTCCCTCCCAGAAACCCTAAACTGGCTGAAATGGCTGCCAAGATGCAGACATTGCCCAAAGCCACTTGCACACTGTGCCAGCACAGCCAGGGTCCCCTGTGGCAGGTGGCACATCGTGGGCTGCCAAACCCAAGGCCATAGTGATATCGGGGTGGTGACCCCGCACAGCCCCTCTGTGCTCGAGAACCTCAGGGTCTCAGGAAGGAAAGAAATTGTCAGCAATTGGAGATGCTGGTCTTAGCTCTGAGCAGCTGCGTGGCTTTGCAATCAGATGTGCCTCTTCGAGGGGGGTTCTTCTCTTGCGTAAGAGACTCACGTGAGCTCAGAGGCGGCGGGCTCACAGGGGACACGATGACATTGATGACGCTGTCGGTTACATACAGTAAATTGAAAAAACCAAACAGTTGGCCCCAGTGCTGCTGCAGGAATGGGGGGTGAGGAATTTGGGTGCAGCAGGTGATGGGCACAGGGCTGGCGGCAGCACTGGAGGGCAGGGGGGCTCGCACACCCCCAGCCCATGTGCTTGGAGTGACCCAGATCACAAGCTCTGGAACCGAGCCCGGATCTGTCGGACTTCTTCGGGCAAATGGGGACATGCCCCCACTGAGCTGCTGTCTCTGCCTTCCCCTCCCCAGTGCGACCAGTACAAGAAAGGAATCATTTCTGGCTCCACGTGCAAAGACCTGTGTGAGGAGCGCAGCCTCCTCTTCCAGCACTGCCTCTCCTCCTCTCCCACCCAGCAGGTAGGTCTCTCCCTCCGGGGAAACTGCTGCACGGGAGGGGATGGGTGCCAGGCATCAAACCCGGGAAACGTCCTCCTCCACCCACCGCATGGCTGCTCCTCACCCCATCCCTGGTACCCCCAACAGAACCAGAAACCAGTTCTCTGCACTTGCTATTGTTTTCCTCCTGTCTCCGCCGTGTCCCCTTCTCCTTCGCTGTAGGTTTACAGCGGGCTCTGGAGGGAGACAGAGGTGATCATCAAATGCGGCATCGAAGAAGCCTTGAAGGCAGACAGCCACCCAGACTCCGTGCCCAGGAGGGACGTGGTCCTCTTTGACAAACCGACACGAGGGACATCGATGGATGAGTTCAAAGAAATGCTTCTGAACTTCCTAAAGGTCAGTACAGAGATCCCACCCGCAAGTGGGATCTTGCGGGTCTGGAATGCTGCTTGTGATTCAGAAAGACTGAATGCATCTTTCCTTCCCCTTAAATGTGAGCTTCTTTGGCCCACGCTCCCCCGTCAGCTGCTGGCTCCTTACCCTACACTGCAGAGCAAGTACTGGATTAGCCAAGGAAAAACTCCATCCTCACACAGGAATTCTTATTTGCAAGATTTTAATAGCAGCAACCCTGGAGGCTGCTGTACCACGGCTGCGGGTGGCATCTGTGCTGGGCAGAGCTTATTCACAGACCTACGGGCAGCCCTGGCACCGCTGCAGCAGTTACCCCTGCACTGGGCTCCTGCCGCAGCAGTGGGACAGCAGCGCTGCCCAGCCCTTGCTCCCAAAACCTTCCTCCCACATGGGTCTCGAGCAGCCCTGAGGCTGGTAACATTCTGCTGGAGCTGAATCCGTCCAAGCGTTCGCTACGGCACCGAATTTGCTGGAGCACGGTGGCTGTTCCCTCCTCTCCCAAGCTCGGTTCTTTGCTTCTCCAGTTCAGATTTGTGATGTTAAGCCCGAACGCCGAGAGCTGCGAGGGTCTGAAGCTGCTTCTTGTTCTGTTCACAGTCCAACCTGGGAGATCAGCCTTCTCTTGCAGCCTTGGTGAGCCGGATCATCGCCATGGCAGATGTGAACCGGGATGGGAAAGTGTCTTTAGCAGAGGCCAAATCCATCTGGGCACTACTTCAGCTCAATGAGTTTCTTCTCATGCTCTCCTTGCACGAGAAAGAGCACACGTCCAAGCTGCTGGGGCACTGCGGGGACCTCTACGTCACTGAGAAGATCCCCCACACCTCCCTCTACGGAGTGGACGTCCCCCCCTTCCTCCAGTCGCTGCTGCCTTCAGTCGTCCACCAGTTTGTCCACCAGTGGTTTGCACCAGCGTGGCCTCGGCGGGCGAAGATCGCCATCGGCCTTCTGGAGTTCGTGGAGGAGATATTCCATGGGACCTACGGGAACTTCTACATCTGCGAGACTGGCTTTAGGAACGTGGGCTACAATGACAAATACGACTTCAAAATGGTCAACCTGAGGAAGGTGGCAACGGAGATGACAATCCGAGGTTTCCTCAAGGGCCGTCACTGTGAGCAGAACGTGGACTGCACCTACGGGAAGGACTGTACGGCGACGTGCGACAAACTCATGAAGCAGTGCAAAAGCGACGTGGTGCAGCCCAACCTGGCGAAGGTCTGCGGGCTGCTGCAGGACTACCTGCTGTACGGAGCACCACCGGAGCTGAAAGAAGAGCTGCAGAAACAGCTCCGAACTTGCATGACCCTCAGTGGCCTGGCCAGCCAGATGGAAGTGCACCACTCCCTCGTGCTGAACAACCTCAAGACCTTGCTCTGGAAGAAGATTTCAAACACCAAATATTCCTAACGGGGGAAGCACGGCCCTGGAGTTTAGAATCTGCAATCTTGGAGTAAAGTCCAAGGGTTGAAAGCCTGTTTCTCCATTCCTCTCCCCCACAGGAAAAATACACCCTGCCCAGGGAGTTCAGCATAGCTGCAGCCCCTTCTCCCTCATGGAAAACCAAGCATCATGACTTCCACTGCCCAGCAGGATCATCGATATGGCCAGCAAGAGCGTGCTGCGGAGCTGGGGCACCGGGAGCCGGGATACCAGGAGCTGGGCTGAACAGGCTCGGGGGAAGACGATGCCATGGAGAGAGATAAGGAAGTGGAGCCCAGCTGGACGCATCTAACTGTTTCTTGATTAACAGGAAAGCAGTGGAGAGAGATGAGAATGAATCATTCATGCTGTACTTGTCACATCTTCTTTTGATGACCGTCTCTGATGTAAATAAATAGCTTTTACGTGAATCACACCGGTACATCAATGGTGAAACGGCAGCCTTTTAAGTACCTGCTTGCTTGTGATCTAAAAGAGGAGAAAAAGGTAGATTTCCCCCCTCAAAAGTCTCTCCTTAAGTGTCTGAGTCATCTGCTGTCAGGCCCAGCTGTAACTTAGGAAGCAGATAAGCTGTCTTTTCCACAGCAGAGAATCCTGGCAATTCTTTCATTCCTTTTTTAAGTGCCTGACCCCAGACAATGATGTGATGGTTGCGTGAGGCTCCCACCCGGCTGCTCCTGCCCACAGTCTGAAATTGGCAGCACAGGCCATTCCCTCTCCTGCCGGCTTTGGGAGCATCCGAGGCCAAGAACAGCTTAAAGGAAAAGGGCTACAACATGAACAACCCTGACCAGTTACCATACACGCTCTGAGTCTTACTTCCCACAGCACTTGGAGCAGGGATAAGCCAACCTCTCAGTTTAATTCTCCTAAAACTAAGCTGGGCTTGTACTGCAGGCAGCACAGGCCATTCCCTCTCCTGTCGGCTTTGGGAGCATCCGAGGCCAAGAACAGCTTAAAGGAAAAGGGCTACAACATGAACAACCCTGACCAGTTACCATACACGCTCTGAGTCTTACTTCCCACAGCACTTGGAGCAGGGATAAGCCAACCTCTCAGTTTAATTCTCCTAAAACTAAGCTGGGCTTGTACTGCAGAGGTTAAAGATTAATACCAGAATAATCCAGTGCTTCTTCCATTACTAAAATTAATTTCCAGGCAAGCTTTCAGCAGGTTTCAAGAAATTTGTTTGGCTGCACAAATACTACCAGGTCTCCAGCTACAGCCTGTTTCCTTTAAACGCTCAATTATAGCAATCTTTTAAAACTACCGGTAGAGAGGAAGAGTTTATGTAAACTACTCCGAGCTTGCTCTGTTCCCAGCACAATCGTATTCCTGAAAAAAAAAGCTCTTGCCAACAATTGCTTAGTGAAGTGGAGCGTGTAGCTGAAGTACAATCACAGAGAAAAAAATACATCTGACAGTATATACAACCTGTGAAGGCAATCGGTGGTGCCATGGCTGCAAATTTATGAGCCCTTTGGAGGAAAGATGTCAGTGTTTCCTTCTATTAGTTCTATAGGATCATCATTACCTCTCACTATTATTTATGGAGGAAATGTTTCAGAGTCAGCAGTGCTCTAAATCTAGCACAGAGCCAGCACAGCTCACTCCCGCAGAGGAGCTGGCTTCACAACACAATTAATCTCTGGTAAGGTTGAGCATTTGTAAGGTTTCTGTGTTTGAAGTGTGACAAGTTCCTCAGCCCCTCCGAGTCACCCTTAATCCTGTACCAACACTGCAAAGATGGTGAAGGCCCCACCTCCCAGCCTGGCACTGGCGTGGGCAGGTTCGCCTGCACCAGAGCATCAGGTGGAGGGTGAAGGTGAGGACTGGAATTGGGTAATGAGGCTCCATGCAGCCACCCCAGCTCTTGTCCTGCATTCCCATGGCAACCAGCTCCACTGAGAAATTAATTTTCCTCTATTAGTAAAAGGAACTCGACAACCCTGCTGAATCCCCTCCTCAGATTTTCAGGAAAGTCATTTTTCACTCTCCCCTCTGTGTTTAACATCTACTAGTAAATTTTGTCCAGAAAGCTTCATTCCTGCTGCACTTTATTCCCGCTGCTCCCTTCCCCAGAAGCAGTATTAGATAAAGCAGCAGGTGATCATCCAGAAAAGCGGAGGAAAACCACCACACTCCTTCCTTATCCACATCATCTTAAAATATTCAGCATCTCTTTAAGCATTTATGATGAAAGATGAAGTTCAAGGAGAAAGACAGCCCCAGCACTTTAAAGAACTGGCCAAGACAGCTTTGTTCAAATAAAGACATTCTGACAAGAACTGTCACATTCCATGTTATTATCTGCACGCCCAGCTGCAGCAGTGGGCACTCCCAGGAATCACTTATGACTCACCCACCCCAAGAGCACCGAGTTTTGTTCTCCACTAATAAAAAGCAGAAGTGTTTTCAGACACGTGCTTACAGTTTATGAGCTACACTACAACATGGGAGAGAAATGACTAAAGGCAAAGCTATTTTATGTTTGTAATGCCTTCTCCAGGCTTCCCACATTAGCTAGAAAACGAGGAAGAGCCAGAACGCTGAAAGACTGACAATCTGATCTCACCAGATGCTGCTGCTTCAGCATCATTAGTAGATTTGTGCTACAAGGGGATGCAGCAAGACTTCTGCCTTTCATTGTTTAAAGTAAAAAAGCTATCCCAGTTCTCATAGCCACAAATAAAAGTCTTAAATCCTGGAATGGTTAAAAAATAATAATATTTGGGGTGCTACGTGTACACAAACATAATAATTTCAGACTTAGTGTAGGTCACATCTTTATTTTTTTTGTTTAAGTCCTTCTTAACCATGTAGAGAAAACAGATTGAAACAGTGCTTTAGAACACGGCTGTGGAAAGAGCGCGTAAGCCGAGATGACGGGGAGAAGGGCACGAGTACAACTCTTGTGGCTGTCCATCAGGAAGTACAGCAAAAGCAGAAAGGACACTTGGAGCAGAACAACTGCAATTGTTTTTAAACTGACATTCGGTGCACAGGTTGCAGCAAACATCCAGAACCACCAGCAGCATCGCGTGCACTTCCACTGGCTGTAGCCTGCTTGAACCCACGTCTGAGAAAAGATGAACCTTCAGGAGTCTTCAAACACAGACACTGCCAACCTTTTCTTTGGCTGTAGCCAGGTTTGCTAGAAATTCTAAAGCTCAAGGCATGACCTGCAAATACAAAAAGGCTTGGGATGTCAGACAACTTCAAATACAGTCAGCACAGGTTAGCAATGAATGTCAACACTAAGCAGCTAATTAAGCCGTACCGGCCCGACTCCTGCTCTTACTGTGCTGCAGTATCCGAGCTACGGCACTGCAGCTAGTCAGGACACAGAATTGCTTTTTCATTTCAGAGGCAACATTTTCAGCTAACTGATGAATCGCATCAGGTTTGTCTTGGGACTGTCCAAAGATTTCTCACATCCCAGAGGAAATAAAAAAGCTTCATAAAATTAAATCAAATTTTAGGGGAGTCATTAGCTGGGCTTGGTTATCATGACTCGCAGGGAAACTTCAGAAAACAATTTATTTCAGTCCAGAACCACAGGAACACCTGAACTCACACTGGCTGTACTCAGTGGAAGCTGAGTGCCTGCAAACTTGTGTGGATCAGGACCTAAAGCAGCAACAGAAGGCAGATGGCACTCATAAATTAGACCAATTTAGGAGAGGTTCTTTGCCACTACATCAGAAAGGTTCTGAAAAAAGAAAATACCTTCTGGCTAGGCACAGTGCGCTCTGGCAAGTCTGGGAAAGGGATAATTTAACAGCACGATAGCTGGAGCCTGCTCTTGGTTACTCTTTCACTCTTGGACTCCCTAAAAATCAAAGGTGAGTTTGCCAGCCTCAATGCAGAGGCAAGCTAGTCATGGTGCAAAGAAAAGCTGGGCCTGTTCCAGCATTCAAAGCCATGACACAAACCAGTTCTAAATGGTGCCAGGCTAAGTTAACGCGCAGGAAGATTTTTAATTTCTCTCAAAACCAGTTTAATACAAAATATTCATCTTTTCCACAGCTGAAAGCCAGGCACTTCTTTCAGTAAAGCAATATTCATAGCCTGGGATTGCTGCTCAGTCTTGGGAAGATGGTTAGCAGCAAATACCATCAGGAGAATTTTAATAGCTATCCTATGCCTCACACAGTAAAGTTCTAAAGAGGGATCCATTAGGCACTCACTACTCCTACGGGACCCTTGATGTGAGCAAAGTGTGATGAAAAAACTCAAATATGTATTTCAGGGTTCAAAAGTCAGGAAATTTAAATGGAAGAGTCACATCTTAAGGCATGCCTCTTTGCATAACCGTACCCCCAACAACCTTATTAGCATTCTTTTCCAAAGCCACTGCTGGTCAGCAGTGCCTTTTCCCACTTAAATGGCTCATTTTGCAGCCAGCAGCCACCCGCTTGGTTAACAGCACCTTTGGCCCTCGTAATGCCCATTTAATGAGGAAATTTTCCACCATGTAGCACTGCCAGATTTTGTCAAGCTATTAGTCACTGCAAAGCCTCTCAGTTTCACAATACCATCTACGTGTAGCCAGAGCTTCTCTGTAGCCACTTGTTTTAGCAGCACTGGCACAGCAGAGGCTCATGTGCACCCCATGACCCAAGAAAGGACAGTGACACCCCAGCTATTGTCACCTGTGCTCCCTGGCAGCTCGCTGCTGTGGGGGTCAGGTTCCTTTGCCACCACGCTAGCAGACAAAAACAGCAGAAACCAACTAAAAAGTGCTCAGTTACAGCTTTACTCTGTCTGCTGTGTTACCAGCTAGAACACGATGCACAGGGAAGCCAGAACTTGGCTTGAGAAACAGGGCAAAGCATTCCACTGCTGCACTTACTGAAAGTTAGTTTAGAAGGACTTTAAAAAGACTTCAGGGTTTAGCTTGGTTAAATTTTTGCTTGGATTACTGAAATCAATCTTTTTATTTCTTTTTTTGTTATGCCTAAGACACAATTTCATTATCTCACAAACAGTTTTTCAGTAGCGTTTTGTGTCCGGCTGCAGTAGTACCAGAGCCTGTTTTGACAATCTCAGGCACTCTTAATGTGTGAGCTCTCAACAGAAGTGTCTTGTTCTGACTGACAGTTGCCATTAAAAGGATACACTCTGGGAACTGAAAAAGGCAGTTGGAGGACGTGAAATAAAAAGATTGCTTACAAAGTTACTGCACCACCAGAACAAAGGAACCTGAAAGAGCTCCACCTGAAGCAGAGGTTTGTCAGCAAAAAAGATGAAAAAATACCGAATTTTAATTTTTTTCTGCAAGCACGTGCTAGTCGCATTTTTAAAATTTTTTGTATTTGTCCATGTCCCACAAGAAGTCAGAAGGACAAGATGTACCAACCCAAGGACTTCTACCCAGACACTGTTTTGTTAACACAGAGG